CATCAAAACCTAACTCGTGTTTTTCACAAAATCCAGACGTTTATTTCACACAAGTTACATGGCATTGCACTCGAATGCTTCCGGCCGGCCAACTGCCATTTGGAATTTCAGRAAGATACAGGTTTTATGTTGAGGATTTTTTTAAACTACAATGACCTATGTTGACCCTTACCTAGCTTTGTGGGCATATGGCAATAGTGTTCTGTCTGGGAAGGTGGACAATATTATTATTTTTATTTTAACTAGTATAGATAATAATAAAAAAAACAAAAAAGTGTGAAACTAATTTTTGAAAACTAGTCGGACTAGTCAGATTATGAATACAGTTAATACCTATTTAAAAACCAACAAACTTCCAATAGTTTTGTCAATATTGTAATGGAATTCTGACATTCACGATTATTGATCTATAATATATGGTATACTATATTATACACCTATGTATTGTACTTCCTCCCTATATAATCGTACATTCAATATATATATATATATATATAATATAGTATTAGAAAATAACGATTTCGGTAGTTGTATTCTTATAGATTCCTAAGGGCTCTAAGTGGATGTCAATGCACTATTTTGTCTATATGAAACATATGAAGTTTGCATTCAAAAAACCAATCTTGTGTTGTGAGCTTTAATATTGGAAGGAATTGACTAATACAAATACTAACCATTAAAAACTTAAAGTTAATAATATTATCTGATTTTTACAATATTTAAATCTTTATGTGATTTATGAGATTTTCAAATTTTAATATTTTACATAAATACATAMATTTTGACTTAAATTAAATTAAATTTATTGGAATTAGTGTATTATTCGTTTAATTTTTTTCTTTGAAAATAATATTGATATAAAATAATGTAATAACTTTTTGTTTTAGTGTGTCAATGTGAAACTTTGCACATACGCTRATAAAAATAAAACAATATATCAATTAAAACGAATGATAGTAAGCTCTAGGCGATGTTTAAAGAATGTCGTTATAGACGACGATGAGTCAACCAATCTGACCATCTGCTCGAGGAATCCGAGAAGCACATCCATCCGTATTATCATATTACCTAACGTGTGTGTTATAAATATATTTCTCCTTGATTTGTAATCAAACAACGTAGTTAATCATAGTTTTAGACTGGTCTTATTGAAAGTGGTTAGCCAAGAAAATGGCTTAAAGGCAATTAGGTATTCCGTGTACCATTGGTTTCGGTGCAGTACTGCACTRCGAGAATAAAAACCAATATATTGTACAGTTGATGTATATAGGTTCTACATTTAAGTGTTTAATTAAACATCAGTACACACGTACATTAAATAWCGATTTTTGGTTTCTGTGGCGAACGGTCGACTATGTATAATAATAATATATATCACCTAACCCATATAAAATAACAACGGAATTGTTATTTTTGGACGTGAGAAAGAAGTGTTTATATTTCTCTCCCGGCAGTAGTTTGTATGTACCACTATAGAGTTTGTGAACGAAATAAAAACAACTCAGCAGCTCGCAAAGGCCGTACAAACACGGCGAACACGACTTCAAGAGTTTATCAAATATTGTTTTTACAGTTTGAAAAATCGTACGACACACCGGTCTGCACGGTGAATCTTTTTTCTAGGTGATCCTAAAACGAAATAAAAATAAAAGGAGACATCAAATCAAAAGTGCGACGATTGCCCGGAATATAATATCTGCTCAGCTGTCGTATCGTGTGGACAAGSGATTTGCGGTAAAATTCATAATATTATACAATATGTTTCTGGGTGGTCCACCCGGTGGTCGGATTCGATGTCAAATTTTTAAATCTCATTTTACTGCTTAAAATTTAATTAATTTAATTTGTCTGGCGGGTAGATGGACGGTTGGCGCAAGAGCTGTCGATTTACCTGTAACATTTGCACGCTGCCGCAACCGGAACAAGAGAACGACCAACATCCGTCGGTGGGTTTGTGATGGTGKGTGAGCTTTTGATACCGTACACCTGTCCAAGCCGGCTGACAACCCGTCAAGCCACCCATGTCACGCCATTTTCACCAGGTTCTGTCTCGGTGACACACACAAACACACACACGCGCGCGCGCGCGATAAYTCACTGCACATATGACACACACGGCGTCGACTATAATCACCTCGCTCGTATGAATATTCACCACGTTCACATGCACACACACGCACGCACACACAGACACACGGGGAAGGACGAGCGCACACGACACCACCACAGCGACGACGGTGCGTTTACCTACTGACATGTCGTGGCGGCGTCGGCGGCGGCTCTCGCGGTGGCAGGCGGGCGGCCGTCGGTCGGCCTGTGGGAATCACCTCTCCGGTGGCCGGCAACCGGTTCAGACGTGCGGCGTCGAAAGGTGCGTTCGTGCCCGGATCGAGTCCATTCATGAACGCTATGCTCACATTGCTCACGAGCGTGGCCATGGGCCCTTATTCGTTTACCATTACTCTTTTGAAAAAGAGTCTTAAATTTTTTTTTCATTGGTTTTTGCTAAATAATATTACGATATTTTTACCTACCGGTTTGTTGAAAATCCAATAAGTTTTGACACGCCATCGGGTACCTACATATTGTTACATCGTATTTTAAAATGGATCCAAATATAAATTTTGGTATTAACGAAAATTGGATCTTTTTATTATTAAATTTGGTGGTCAATGATAAAATATTTGAAAAATTTAGAAATTATGTCCGTGTCACCGAACCATATATTTCTGATTTCACTTTTATCCTGAATCTTATTTTTTCTCGTAAAAACAAATA